GATATTTAGAAGTGCTTTTTTACTATTTAAGTTCATGAATCATAGCTTCATGCCATGAACAAAACAGGAATAGTTTATCCCATGAATGATTCATGAAAACTGGAGCCCGGTTATAAATTTATACAACATCTAACAGTGATTTTTCCCAATAACTTGTAAAATAAGGTTTTATTCTCTTCATGTAAAAATGTCCATACTAGTATTCAGTAAAAATTAGTTAAGTTTAGTAAATATAAGGAAAATTTGCCAAGAATAATACCACCTTTCACCGGTCTTCCAATAATGAAACCACCTTTAGATTATCTCAAAATAACACGACCTTTGACACACATCTTCTATAAATAGAACGTGACCTGTTGGTAACCTGTTTAATAGGTTACTTGTGACACATGTCACAATGTGATTAGTCTTTTTTTTTTTTTTTATCAATTTTCATTTTTTTAAAAAGCCCCCTAATCGGAAACCACTAGTGTGGGGCCCCTCTCTTCCCCCGTCTTGTCCTCATTCGCGTTTTTTGGCCCCCCTCCCCGTCCTCGATTCTGGTCTCCCTACACCGTCCCCGATTTCGGTCCCCCTTCCCTACCCCGTCCCCGATTCTGAACCCCCTCCCTTCCCTACCCAGATTTCGACACCCCCTCCCCTTCACGCAAGCTTTCTCTTTCTTTTTCAGTTGGTAGGGGATAGGGTTTTGATCTCTCTCTCATTTCCGGCGGGTGCGGGAAAAGTTTTTGATCTCTCTCAATTTTCCAGCAAGTGAGGGAAATGGTTTTGGAGGCGATTTCAAGGGCAGAGCGGTGGTTTTGAGGCGTTTTCAAGGGCAGATCGGTGATTTTGAGGTGGTTTTAAGGGCGAAGCGGTGGCTTTGAGGCGGTTTCGAGGGCGTGGGTGGGGATACGTGGCTGTTCGAGTGTGGGGGTGGAAGGGAGGGCAGTTTTGAGGGTGAGGCTGTGGAGGGGGCCGGGGTTGTTCTCGGTGAATGGTAGGCTGACAGGGGAGGGTTTGAACGGGGAGGCCGGGGGAGGGGGAAGGGGAAGTGGAGGGGGGGGGGCTGCTGAACAGGAAGATGGTTTTTTTTTTAATTTAAATGTTAGGTTTTTTTATTAAAAAAAATAACAAATTACAACGCGACACGTGTCTAATGTAACCTATAAAACAGGTTACCGGTTTTTTGTTCTATTTATAGAAGATGTATGTCAAAGGTCGTGTCATTTTGAGATAATCCAAAGGTGGTTCTATTATTGGAAGACCGGTGAAAGGTGATATTATTCATGGCAAATTTTCCTAAATATAATCATAGTTCTTAACAAAATTAACTAGTTATTAGCCCGGACAATGCCTTAGTACATCGTATTTTATAATTGTTTGATCAAAAATAATAAAAACGGTTAATGGATAGATTATGATAAAAGTGAGTGATAAAATTATAATCTTTTATTAAAATATATATATTTGAAATATGCATGTCAAATTTAAATATGGAGGTTATACATATGAATAGTTTTTCATGAAAAATAAATATTATTATAGAGAATTAAAGGTATAGAGAGGAAAAAAAAATGATAATCCCTCTGTGTTTTTTAAAGTGTTACATTTTCTATTTTCAATCGTGTTTATTTAAGCGTTACACTTCCTTTTTTGGCAAAAAACTACATTAGAATATTATATCCCTCTCCTCTCACGATCCCCACCCAAACTCAATACTATTTTTTTATTATGTCTTTCCTCTCACATTTATTACTTTTCAATAAACTATTAACCCCACTATCTTTCTCCTACATTTAATACTCCAACTACTTCACTTACCTCTTATTTTATTTAAGTCAATTAAATTGTCTAAAACTATGTGTCGGTCAAAGTGTAACACTTAAAAAAAATGGAGGGAGTGCACATATGATGATACATGACACACATGTGGCACTAAATAATAATCAAGGGTGACACATGGCATTAGCAGGTTGTTCCTATGAATTTTAATAATAATATAGATAAGTTGAGTTTAATAAAAAAAAATGTGTTTTTTTTTTGAGAAGGAATAGTTGAGTTCAATAAAAATAACTTTTTCAAATAAAAGCAAACCCTGTGGGCTCCACAATGATGATAACTAGGGATGAACAAAAAAAAAAAACAAGGTACCTAGATTGGAGCCGAAACTTGTACAAGAGGTTAAGTTCCAGCTCCGAGTAGTAAAATGAAAAACATGTACCAACAGTTTTTGGTTCATTTTTAGAATCGGAACCTATATGGTACTATATTATTAGATACACTTAAGTTTAAATTATACACTAATTCTAACCAAATTTTAAATTGATAAGTATCAAAATAATAATTGAAATTTATAATTATATGTATTACATTTGCTAAACAACTACTATTAATTTGTTTCATTTGCGAGTTGCGAGTTGTAATTATTACATAGTATGAAGTATAAATTTAGTGACCATCCACTTTTTTTACAAGCAAAAAGTTATTAAGTATATTAAAATACATGGTACCCTGATTAGAACCTGCAGGTTCTGGTTTTGGTTCCCAACTTCCAAAAACCTGTTCAACAGGTTTTGGTTCTAATTTCCATTTTGAGGAACCTGTTGACTGTTGTAACCTCTTCCGATTTCGGTTCCATGAATTTTAACATGGTACCCTGTTATGCTCACCCTTGATAACTAGATAAGATTGTATATTTTATTTACCAAAATGTCAATAAGCCTGAACATCCTTGTAGATTAGCATACTAGAGGAATATGGTACATTCCTTAAACCTAATTTTGACAACCTACCAGGCTAACATATATGTTTAGTAGAAGTATTTATTTTCCAAAATATTATTCAGTAAAATTCTATTACTACGGGTCTGTTTTGATTTACTGAGTTGAGCTGAACTGAACTAAATTGAAATAAATATTTTATGAGAAAAAGAAATCAGGAACTGAAAAGAAACTGAAATTAAGCTGAAGAGAACATGCCCTACGTATATAATTTTTATTCGCTTACGTGCTACTCGAAAATCGATAGCAATTTCGAAAAAACATAAACTTTCAGCTTTTGCTTTACACATATTAAGCATAAATACCATGTCACTTGACCAACGTTGTAGCCAAATTACCATGGCAATTATCTTCACACATATGTCCAGGATATAGATGCTTTAAATAGAGAACATCTAACAGTATAAAACTCTATAAAGCATTAACCAACAATTTCATACTCAACCCTCAATTTTATTCAGCTCATCCCATAAAATGTCAGAAATTGATCCTGCATTCATCCAACCCATTGAACATAGGCCTAAACCCTTTACAATTGAAGCTGAAGGAATCCCTATCATTGATCTTTCTCCAATCACCTCAAACAATCACTACGAAAATGATCGTGGTGATATTAACGACATTGGAGTTCTTATAGCTGAGATAGGCAATGCCTGTGAGAAATGGGGATTCTTCCAAGTGATCAACCATGGTGTGCCACTAGAGAAGCTTGAGAGACTTGAGGTCACGGGTAGGAAATTCTTCACCTTACCCCAAGAGGAAAAGAGGAAGGTGGGTCGAGATGAGGCCAACCCAATCGGATACTATGATTCTGAGCATACCAGAAATGTTAAAGACTGGAAACAAGTTTTCGATTTTACTGTTAAAGACCCCTCTTTTATTCCAGTTGATCCTGATGATCTTAAACCCAAGGAGCTGATTAACTGCTGGCCACAATCTCCTCCTGAGTTCAAGGAGGATGCCCAAGGGTATGCAAGGGAATTGGAAAAACTTGCGTTTAAGCTGCTGGAGCTGATAGCCTTGAGCTTAGGCCTTGCAGCAGATAGGCTGAACGGCTATTTCAATGATCATGCAAGCTTTGTGCGACTTAATTACTATCCGTCCTGCCCTTCTCCTCAACTGGTTCTTGGCCTTAATCAACACAAAGATGCAGGTGCCTTGACAATTCTGGCACAAGATGATGTTGGTGGTTTACAAGTCCGACGGAAATCAGATGGTGAATGGGTCAGTGTTAGACCCAACCCTGGTGCTTTTATCATTAATGTGGGTGACATTGTCCAGGTAAGCATTACCCCACTTTCGGGATGTATGGGGCATTGGGGCTGTGATATAAACTTGGGCTTCTCTAATTTACAGCTAAAATTCAGAAGTTGGTGACAAGTTCTTCTAACATTGTATATAACGGCTAATTAGAGCACTATATTTCTTAATTTTGTGTGTGTCTGTGTTGCAGGTTTGGAGCAATGATAAATATGAGAGTGTGGAGCATAGGGTGATGGTAAACTCAGAGAAGGAGAGGCTATCTATCCCATTCTTCTTCTACCCAGCACACTACATCATGGTCAAGCCTTTGGAAGAGACAATTGACAACGAAAATCCCCCCAAATATAATGAATATAATTGGGGAGTTTATTTCGCAACCAAAAGGAAAAGTAATTTTAAGAAGCTCCAAGTTGAGAACATCCAGGTCGCTCACTTCAAAATAGTCTCACAGTGATTATTAAATCTGGATGGAAGGAGTATTACAGTTTACAGTAAATCATACCAAAAAAAAATCTGTAAAATCAGGTAGAATTATCCTCTAGCCTTCGAGATATCTAATACTGTATTAGAGCATAATGTAGTCAGCTAATAGCTGATAAAGTGTTTAAGAATCATTTTGAGTTGTACTTTAGAATATGTATTCTATCTATATGTTAGGGTCAAGTGACCCTTTTAACTATCTCTTTACTTACCTCTCTATTCTGGCTTAGGGCCATGGATGAAAGTACCTATCATATCAAAGACAAAGTTTGATGGAAGACGATCTTACAAGAACATTGCAAGACAAAGTGACTCCTCCTGTTTAAGGGGCAGATCATTACATTTTGGAGGGTTTAAATTAGAAGTTTCAGGATAAAAGTCCTCTACTTTCAATTAAAGTTGCTAATACCTCCATCCAAAATCAGTTGTCACGTGCTTGAGTAGACTTTATAATTTAGCAATCATATAGTACTGAATCGGATTCAGTAAAGTAGGTAGAAACATAACCTACATTTTTTTAGACCATAAACATAACCTACATGAGGTAGAGTAGGATGTTCAATAATATTTTTTCAAGAACATGACATTATAAATTTATAATCAGGAGGCTAGCTATCTTGGAAATGAGATTTTCACTGTGCTAAAGGAAACAATGTAAAAGATACATGTTTATCATACTTTGACACAAAAAATAAATTTAGCGTGATCAAGATAGCAAGTTACCATAGAATGTTGCTTTCATTCTGGTAATGACTCTGCCAATGCATCAGTGGCGGAATTTTGTGCTTCCAACAATTGCATTTGGCGCTCTGCATGTTCTCTTTCACAAGCACTAATCCCCATTATAATGTCCAACATGGTGCCTGTCGTTCCAAAGAATACCAGTGGTGCAAGAGATTTCTTCTTTATTCCAACAGGAATAGCTACCAAAGCACCCAATACCGAAAAAACCCATGTTCCTAAGGCACTGCAAGGAAAACCTAACTAATGAATATTGCATTTGAACAGCTGACTTACATAATCAAGATGCAAATAGTAGGAACAACAAACACCACAGCTAAATATGTGAGGTAAGTCTTTCCAAACGTCAAAGCCAAAATTAAGGTTGTTTTACTTTAAAGCTATTTATTTAAGAGGTCAGAGTAGCAAAAAGATCCTATGACATTACAAGCTGGAAATAGTTGTTTTACTTAACTAGATTATCCTCCCACAAACACATGAACAAATGTGCAAATTGGCATGTGGTACATGGTAGATGCCTAGATGTCACAGACGTATACTTTTAAATTAGTTCAACAAAACTTAGTAAATTGTTTTCCTGTACTAAAGGGTACTAGCTTACACAATCCTAACAGTTTCATAATTCTATTTTGCTGCTATACAATATGAAAGCAGTCTGTACTCAGTATATAATATATTACAGGTAAGTTTCTCAAAACCATGTCTTTGATACTTCTAGTCTCAACATTTGCACAGACAGCTATTTCCCCATTAACATCACCCACAAATTGAAATCTTAATTCAAATAGACTTGGTGCAACCAGGAAGCTACAAGAAAAGGCGATGTTGATCACAAGGAGTTGCACAACGTACTGTCTATGTTACCCAGATTTGGGTTTTGGTGTTAGGCACTATAACGTGAGGCTAATTCAGAGATTCACAACAGATTTTCATGTTTTTTGGACCAAAATTAAGCGTCGTGTATCCAAACCCAAGTTCAATAGTCAAAAAATCGACATGGGTTCGTGAATCGTGAGTTATCCAATATCAAATAATCTGATTCAAGGTAAGCTTACCACTGACATAAATTATTAAATTGAAGCACTTGTATTAACATAATGCAATTAAAGACCAGAAATTTCTTCTCTTTCCTTTCATTTTTGTTTTTCTTTTTGTGGGAGGGGGAATAATAGATGATTACCATAGAAAAATAATATAATTGTCAATTAAGCATGACAAAATTGAATCAATGATCAATAAATTAGCTTACAATTAGCAGAAAAATGCTTAAAAATTAGCAATTTGATCAATTAGGGAAAAAAAAAACCCCATGAAATTAAGGCAGCAGAACCCCAGAAAAACAATGTCAAATTCCAACACATTACATTTGAGTAGAAAATTCAAGGGGTTGAAGGAAAGAGACAAACTTTGAAACAGAGCATTCCTCAAGATGCTTAACTTCTTCTTTTCCAGCCATTTTGATCTATTTTGCACCGATATATGAATTGTCTGTTCAATACTAAAAATTAATTGATCAGTGAAATCGGTAAAATGCCCACATTGTAAATGAATAACAGAATTACAAGCATTTAACAGATGAGGAGAGAGAAGAGGGGAGAACTTACTGATGATGAACCGAAATTAGCAGGGTTAGGGTTCTTTCTGGGAAAGGTAACAGTGAGAGGGATTGAGGGAAGACGAGAAAGAAAAGAGAACCCGAGTAAGGGTGACCAATTGTACAAGAATTGAGTCAACTTGTGAGATTGGGTTTGGTTTTGGATCGGGTACAGGTCAACTCGATTTATGTAAATTGTTGTGAATGATCCAAATTAAAGTGTATTGTTAGGCCCCTGTTTTATTCATCTTAAAAAAATAATATTAAGTAAAAATAGTTTCAGTTCAGGAAAAATAATTCAGTTCAGTAAAATTAAATTCAGTTCAGTAAAATTAAATTCAGTTCAGTTCAGTTCAGTAAAATTCAGTTTTCTTAAAGAAGAATTATAATAGAAAATCAGTAAAAATAATTTCAGTTCATTAAAATTAATTTAAGTTCAGTAAAAATAATTTAAGTTCAACAAAAATAATTTCAGTTCAGTAAAATTAATGTGAAGAAAACAGGGCCCTAATCTTGTAAATCGATATCAACAACAAGTCATACCAAGTAGTACTTGGTTTTGTGGAAAAGATTATCATCTTACAATCATAAGGTTGTGGGATTAATTCCTACAAGCCGTGAGACACACGCAAATTGCGTGTGCAACATAAGAAATTAATATGCATGGCTCGATTCTCTCTTCTTTTTTTTTTCCCTAAAATATTATCTACCTTATTCTAATAAAAAAAATATTAGTGGGTTTATAAATTGATGAAATCATAGAGGTTAAAAGGTAAGATATGAGTACATTATAATGTTCATGCAAAATATGACTTCCCTAAAAAAAAATTTAAAATTAAATAAATTAAAGGGTGGTAGTTTTTATTTTATTTTTTTTTAAAAAAAATGGTAGTTATATTTTTAAAATTATGGTAGTTTTCTTTTGAAAATTATAAAAGATGAAAGAGGTATTTTGGGAAAGTGAAATTTATCACCCAAAAATCCCTTTCACTTTATATATTACTATAGATTAGAGCCAACTTGAAAGTGGAAATTCTCTTATCTCCCCCTCCCCCCCCCCCCACTCCTAATATGTGAAGAAGTTTAATACTCCCTCCGTTTTTAAATACTTGCTCCACTTTTCATTTGCGGTCGTTTTTAAATACTTGCTCCATTTTCTTTTTTAGAAAGCTCTTACAGTATTTAATTAATTTCTTCCACCTAATGGACATATTCTCATTGATTGAAATTTGATTAAAGCATGTAAAATTGTTCAAGTATATTTTCTATGCATCGCCCAACATTATCTATATTTATATTAATTATTAATTAAAATTAGGACATATTCTCATTGGTTGAAATGAGCTTAACTGATTAGAGCTGAATTGAACTGAATATAAGAGAAGGAAATTAGGAACTGAACTGAATTGATTTGAACTTAACTGAAAATAATCGTATGAGAACAAGTCTTTAGTGGTTAATGAGATAAGAGCAAACTCCAAATGCTCCCCTTACAAATAGCCACCTCACTTGCCACATCATAATACAAAAAAGGCAGTCAAGTTAATTATACTTTTAGTAACACATCAATAAAGGATAATAGGAAAATTTGTCATGAATCAGTCCCAATCAAATAACAAGATGCATCGAAGAGATTTCAATAGAAAAAATAAAAGAAATTTAGTTATTTCAATGTTATTTTCCTTTGCAGAATGACACATCATATTGCATTAACACAGGGACATTTCAGTAGATGATTATTTAATTCAAAATTTCCACTTCTAGTCATCTTACTAATGTTCAGTGACGTCTGTTAGCTTTTACTTTCAATAATTCCATTTTTTTCACTCTTCTTTAACACTTCATAATCACATGAAGTGCCGTTAAGATATTTAACCATCCACAATCTCAATGATGACTCTATCATCTCTCAAAATAAATACAACATTATCTTGAAAAACGCAAATATCATTCACTCAATTCACTTTCCATCACATACAATATTTCACAATATCACAATTCACAAATATGTTAAAATCTTAAACCTAAACAGATAACATAATTGAATATCAAGAGTATCTTTAAAGATATGTATATGACACACCCTACTCAGCAATCTGATCCAATCCAATTCAATTCATCCAACCCAATCCAATTTTTAAACGAATATTATAACATAGAAACCTACTCGTATCTTATGTCTAAGCGAGAGTAGCAATGTACAAGTATATTTTATAACTTCATTCTTAAGCAATCCTATACTTAGCATTAACACTTTGGAACATTTTTCCAATCTTATTAATCACATTAAATTAAAAAAATTAGCGTTACAATAAAGCTACTCGTATTGGGCTTGAATTAGTTCTATTTATAGTTGGTTACTTGCCCAAAATAACCCAATTTCTCATTTCCCCCTTTTCATTTTCTCTCTCCTCTCAAATTCATACTTTTTCAAAGACAACGGTTTAACCTCAACTTTTTCAAACATTTCAAATTTCGAAAACCCAGAAAATCTCAAATCTCCATTTTCTCTCTCCTCGATCCCACCTTCAATCTCCAACAATGGGGGCAGCCAACAGTCGCGAAGGATTAGAGCTTTCAGATTCCGATGAATACGATGAGCGTGATTCTGAGGGTGAAGAAGAAGAAGATTACGACACTTCTGAAGAACACCAAGATGAAGGAAACCTTAGTCATGGCGGTAAAACTGCTACTACTCCATCTTCGTCTTCTTTAGATGATGTTGAAGCTAGATTAAAGGCTTTGAAGCTTAAATACTCAACTCCTGCTTCTGGGTCTTCGAGGAAGAACGCTGTTAAGCTTTACAAGCATGTTGGTGGTGGGACGGCTGATTCGAAATGGAAGACTGCTGAATCTGCGACGTCGTATTCATTTGTGAAGACTCGTGGGGAAGATGAGGAGGAAGAGGAGGAGGAAGAAGAGGGGGATTTGTATTGGGAATTGAGAGTTGGGTCGAAAATTAGGGCTAGGGTTTCGACGGATTTGCAATTGAAGATGTTTCCGGATCAATTGAGGATTGATTTTGTGTGGAATGGTGTTTGGGCGTTGAAGTTCTTTGAGAAGAACAATTATTATGATATGTTTGTGTCTGAATTTCAGGATTGTTTGTTTGAGAATGTTCATGGGGTTGAACCTACTGAGCAGAATAAGGTGAAGGTTTATGGGAAGGATTTCTTGGGGTGGGTTAATCCTGAAGCCGCCGACGATACGATGTGGGATGCGGTTGATGATGAAGGGCCTGGATTGAGTACCCCTAAGTCTACTCCGGTGAGGGTGAAGCAGGATTTGCTTGAGGAATTTGAGGAGGCGGCGAGCAGTGGGATTCAGAGCTTGGCATTGGGTGCTCTTGATAATAGTTTTCTTGTTGGGAATGAGGGTATTCAGGTTGTGAAGAATTTCAGGCATGGAATTCATGGAAAAGGGGTTAATGTTAAGTTTGATAGGGGTAATGGTTCTAGCTCTAATGTGAAATCTTCGAGTTATTCGACCCCGAAGAAGGTGATTTTGATGAGGGGGGAGACTAATATGATGCTTATGAGTCCTGTGTTGGAGAATAAACCTCATGCTGGAGGGCTGCATCAATTGGATATTGAGACTGGAAAGATTGTGACTGAATGGAAGTTTGCTAAGGACGGTGCTGATATTTCGATGAGGGATATCACTACTGATAACAAAGGGGCTCAGCTTGATCCTTCAGGGTCTACATTCTTGGGATTGGATGATAATAGGTTGTGTCAATGGGATATGCGTGATCGCCGTGGTAATGTGCAGGACATTGCCTCTGCTAACTCTCCTGTGTTGCATTGGAATCAAGGACATCAGTTTTCTAGGGGCACCAACTTTCAGTGCTTTGCTTCGACAGGGGACGGTTCAATTGTTGTTGGTTCGATTGATGGGAAGATTAGACTGTATTCTAAGACCTCTATGAGACAGGCTAAGACTGCATTCCCTGGCCTCGGTTCGCCAATTACCAATGTGGATGTTACCTATGATGGCAAGTGGGTGTTGGGTACTACTGATACATACTTGATTCTCATTTGCACCTTGTTTTCTGACAAAGATGGAAGGACTAAGACGGGGTTCAGTGGTCGTATGGGTAACAGAGTCTCGGCTCCTAGGCTGCTTAGGTTAACTCCTGTTGATGCTCATATGGCTGGGGCAAACAACAAATTCCATGGCGGTCAATTTTCATGGGTAAGACGGATATTACTTTTATGCTTGTAGCATTTATACTATTTAGTCACCTCATATGATTGCTCATTCATGATTTTAGAATTATTATTGGATAGGAAGATATATATGCTGATTTCTAGCTATCTGTTAGCTTATGTTTGCTTGTTGTTTGTGCGAACAGTTTGTCTATAGTGCATATGTTAACTGTTAAGTTACAAAATTCACTATTTCCGGCAATGCCAAATTAAATAAGAAACTCTTTAGAGAAGGTAGTAAACATGGGGATAGTGAATTCTAATAGGGAAATTTATAATTTCTCTCATTTTTAGAGTAGTTAAGTATGAAGCTATTCTCTTATTGTTAGAATACCAAATTAACAACAATATCTGAGCCTTAATCCAAAGGATGGGGTTGACTACATGAACCAAGATTATATATCCTGTTGATATTCTCTCCCTCCCTCCATGCCCTTCTATCTTTGTAAGCCCAATTTCTTCATATCATTTATTATTCCTTCCATCGGTCCATCCTAGTGTTTTTTTGTTAGAATAGTTTGATTCATAATGATTATTGAAAGTGTTGTGTCCGTGGTCATATATAAATTTCTTTATATGAATAGATTGCTTCAAAGCTGTTGCTGTTTAAAGGAACAGGGATGGCAAATAAAGCTTTATGCTCTTCGTATGTGCCTTTTGTTTGGTTTTGTCTATGTTGATGCGATGTCAATTAATGCCTATAATGCCTTGTAGTAGAAAAGAGGGATGGTGTGGAAATAGGTTATTGGCCCTGATTCCTATTCCTCTATTTATTTGTATGATATAGTATGAAACATATTTAGGTTAGTTTGGGTCACGTTTAAGCCTTCTATTCATCAGAAGTTTAGAACCTTAATATCATTGACTTCTGTGATGGGGGTGTAGATGCCTTGCAATCCTGCATCAAAATAGGAAGGATTGGATTGATCTTGTTTTCTATTTTTCTGTTTATTTTTGTGATATGGTATTTAATATGCCTCGGTTGGGGTGATGTTGTTAGACATAGCCCCCCCTTCCCCTTATATGCTTTGTTGATGGACCCTTGGAATCCTATGTGATGTATCGGTGAGTGTTTGATTAAGTTTATGTAAGCAACTAGGCCACTTTTGATGTGTTGGTCTTTCTGATTTGAAATTTTTTTGTCGGATGTTTCTGATGTGGTGAAGGATTTTTATTGTCTTGCTTTATATTCCCGCTTTAAGTAATTGGTGAACTTGATTAAGGCTTTTTATTGTCATGCTTTGTACTTGGGCTGTTTGTCAAGCTTCAACAAGCTATGTAATTGATATAACTTATCACTGAAACATATTTTGCTGGCCTGAGTTTCTTTTTAGAGATGTATGTGTTGGTAATTTGCTGATTTATACCCCTTAAAATTTTTGAATGCTGTATTTTTTGAATGCATTGTATTTATTGAAGGTACATCAGATAGTTAATAAAATCAAAAGACAAATTGGAAACAGTGGTTGTCACAAAATATTGACTTATTAATTTTTGCATGTTTGCAGGTCACCGAGGAAGGGAAACAAGAACGTCACATAGTTGTTACAGCTGGAAAATTCAGTGTCATTTGGAACTTTGAGCAAGTGAAGAACAGTGCGCACGAATGCTATCGGAATCAACAGGGCTTGAAGAGCTGCTACTGCTATAAGATTGTTTTGAAAGACGAGTCTATAGTGGACAGTCGCTTCATGCATGAGAAGTTTGCTGTTAGTGACTCTCCTGAAGCTCCTCTTGTGGTGGCAACCCCTATGAAAGTGTCCTCATTCAGCATATCAACCAAGCAATGACAGTATAGTACTGCCATTGTATGACATGTATGCCAGCTATCTAATGATTGTGAAGAGCATGCCTGCTGCATCAGTAGAACAATTTTTTTTTTTTCCTATTAGAATTTGTAAGTAGGGGTGCAGCACGTGTTCTCGAGTGCATTTCTAAATTGTGTGCTTGAGAGTGTTCTATAGATTGTATTGCTTTTAGTAGAAACGTTTTATTTCACTAGTGTTGATTAGGATATGGAAGACAGCATTCTGAAATCTGGATGACTAAAAATGCAGGTATTGAAAATTTCCGAATTTGTTTGGAAATGAGTGATGCTGTCCTGAATTGTGGTTCTGTATTTTGTTGAAAACAATTTCATATAATGTTGAATGAAATTGAACAAGCTCTTTCTGTTTTCTTTCTTCTACTCCTATGGTGCTACGTCTTTTTCTAATGATATTAACTCTCCAATAATTCAACTAACAAGGATAGTATTGGCTGCCAAAGTTACTGTATTTTTTTTGCAGGGTAATTTTATTTCTCGGCAGCTAAACACGACGAATTAGCTTAATACAAGTATATCTTACCATTTATAGACAAAGAACTGCACCCAGAAAATTCCAAATTTATAGCACATGATAAAACCCCCTTAACCCAATAATTGGGAAAAGGGGGAGTTACCAAAGTTCATACTTTGTACTTATAAAACATCCTAAAATACAGAGTTGTTGACAAGAACTAGGTCCGAGGTTTCAGTAGTGATGGGGGATGTAAACCCAGATTTTATTCAACCCACTGAATTCAGACCAAATCCCACCTCAACCATTGAAGCCAAAGGAATCCCAGTTATTGACATATCCTCTGCAAATGATGAGGTGATAGCAGAGATTAAGGAAGCTTGTGAAAAATGGGGATTTTTTTCAAGTGATTAATCATGGGGTGCCTGTGGAGAAGAGACAGAAAGCGGAGTTGGCGGCGAGGAAGTTCTTTGGCTTAACCCTGGAGGAGAAGAAGAAAGTAAGAAGAGATGAAGAGAACCCTTTGGGATATTATGATTCAGAGCATACAAAGAATGTTAGGGATTGGAAAGAAATATTTGATTATACTGTTTTGGACCCAACTTTGATTCCTGCTTCACATGAGATTGGAGATGAGGAGATCAGAGAACTCAGGAATCAGTGGCCTGATTATCCTCCTGACTTCAGGTACTTTTAGTTTTTTCATCGTTCATTACAAATTTGGTACGGAGTAACATATTTTTTTCGATATTTGTTCAATCTGGAATGCATATTTTTTGATATTAAAGGTATATCATAGGGTGTTTTGAAATATAAACTAGTGGTTGTTCTGTTGACACACACATATACATGATCAAGTCTTGGAGATTGGTGAAGTGTTCTGGGAACAGCGGCGGTGCTAGAACGGTAAACTTGTATTTGATATTCTGTGATTATAATGAATTATTTACCTTTTGGTTATCTTATATTAGGATGAGAACTTAAAGAAAACTATATTATTATTTCAGATAGTTTATTTGTTATATGCTGACTGCCAAGCACTTTTCGTGGATGATTACTTATGTTAGCTCCCCAAAACATTTTGGGACTAAAGGATTTGTTGTTGTAGTTGTTTGATGGACCAGATTGTTAGATTGATCTGGGAGATAGATGAGGTAATTCTATATATTTGGTAAGAATCATTGCAGAATTGAGATTGAGCAGGACATTAATCGGTGTCACACGTTTCCTCCTTCTCCTGGATGATCAGTTTTTAATCTGATCTTTCTACTTGGAGGATTACAATACTGTCAAATTGTTATTTCTTTCATGCTAGTCATGCTGCATTATAAAATGCCAATACTTCAGATTGAGCAGCTAGCTTGTTGCAGAAAAGTCAATGTCTTGAGTTCTTTGTTACTATTTTTTTTTTTAATTTTTTTTCATTGAAGTTTGAACTTTCTTGTTTTTAAGTTTAGCAAAGTAGCAAACTTTATAATCTGGTATTGCTAACAATTTCTAAGCCTCTGCAAAGGGTTACCAAAGACAAAACGCGAAAAAATGCTGAAAAGAAATCTGCATCAGGGACTGATTTCTCTGAAAATCCTTCTGATTATGTTTGTTGTGATTGAGACATCCTATGAGCAGCTAGATCATCAACATAGTCATAAACCTTTGAGCAACCACTTTGTACTGGTTCATGGATCTTGTTTAGGAGCATGGTCCTGGTACAAGCTGCTTCCCCTTCTTAAATCATCTGGTCACACAGTCACTGCAATTGATTTAGCTGCTTCCGGGATCAACCCTTTGCAGCCAAATGATCTTCAATCCATATCCGAGTATTTTCAGCCATTGACAGACATGATGGTTTCTCTTCCCTTTAATGATAGGGTAATCCTTGTAGGTCATAGTTTAGGCGGGTTGGCTATATCTCATGCTATGCAGCATTTTCCTGATAAAATCTCGGTGGGTGTTTTTGTCACTGCTCAGATGCCAGGACCAGCTCTTACTGTCTCCATTCTTAGCCAAGAGGTAATCTTATGTTTAACTTGTTTGTAAACCTCTTAGAATTTCCTAACAGTCTCTACTTTTCTCATCTGATTATCTGTTATTCTGTATGAACTATGAATAACAAGCTAAGCTCAGAGTCGATAACATTATGGCTTTATCTGACATTGTTTGCAGTTATTGAACAGAACTGGACCTGCATTAGATAATAAATTTATGTATGACAAGGATGACAACAGTCCAAATAATACTCCGACACATTCTTATTTGGTCCGAATTTCTTGTCACAACAGGTGTATGACCTTAGCCCTCCTGAGGTAAGTTGATGAAGGAGCAGCATAATCCACACATAGTGCATAATTTTACATTCTTAACTGGATCAGTATATAACTCTGTGCCTGCAGGATATTGCGCTTGCAACAACATTAATGAGACCATTGCGCTTATTCAGTATGCAAGACATGTCCGAGGTGATTGTCTTAACAGATCAGAAATATGGATCAGTTCCTCGCGTATATATCATCTCTGAAGAAGACAGGATAATGGATAAAGAAGTGGAGAGATGGATGCTTAAGAAAAACCCTCCCAACAGAGTGGAAAAGATAAGAGGGTCTGATCATATGGTCATGGTTTCCCAACCCCTGCAGCTTTGGGCTCATCTGCAGAGCATTGCAGCAGATTTTGGTTAACTGTTATTCTGCTAGCTCTTTTTCTGCAGTCTGCAACTGCAGAGTCTGCACTGATTAATGCTGAGGGGTGGAGTCACGGGTAGCTAGCCGAGGTTGTGCCTCCCTTAGCTAAGAATTACTTGGTTTCTTGGTGATCAAATTCTTTGCAAATAATAAAACAGATTCAAAGTGTGTTTATTGTTAATCACTGTGATAAAGATTCAAATAATGTTGGGCTAGGACTACCGATTTTCAAGGTTGTAATCATCATCCTTAACCAAATCCTTGTCCCTCTACCATCTTTTCAAATTCCCGGCTGACCAAACAGAAGACTGACCAAACGAAAGAGATTTAAGACTAAAAAGAGAGATTAAAGAGGAACAAGTAAAGACACAAATGCATTAATGCTAACCAAGGTGATTAATCACCAATTACAGCCTTGCCAATTCAATCTAGCAAGAGAAATGACACTATAAAACTACATGATTAGCTCATCACAAAACTCAACATGATTAGCTCTAATAGATACAGCTTTTCCCTAACAAACATTCGAAAAACCTCAGGATAAAAATAGGTAAAACCACTAATGTTGTTAGACTGTTAGTAGCTTTACCCATTGTAACCCCAAATTATAATGATTTTGCCTCTTGATAAAGTTCATCGAAGAGATACATTGGGTTTTCCTCCTATAATCCGTAGTAGACTGATAGCCGCGTCCCTACCTCCAATATAGCACGCGGGTTGTGATCACATTGTTCAACCATCCTCAACCCAATATCAAATAATTGTTGGCGATTTACATGCCCTTGTAAGCCCTCGTCAAATACTATAGACTCAAACAATAGCCAAGAATTCTGCTCAGACAAACCTTCCAACTCGTATACATATTCACTCCTAATAACTTGTCGTGCAGTTGTCATTGAACGTGTAGTCACCAAAATCCGACTACCCTCTTGACCCAACTTCAAGAAATCGTGTAGGCTATCCCATTTCTCACGACCTTGAAATAATACATCATCAAGAACTTCTTTCCGCTTATGTGCTCTTGAAATCGCGTTTGCACCCACTTCATCGTTGAGGTCCCATCAACCCTTATACCAGAAACTGAATCTAGAATCTTACACAGAATGGTCTTGACTTGACATCAGCGAATTGATCAGAGACACAAACCCACATCCTGCTGAATTGCTTTATCATTGAACACAAGCTGGGCAAGAGTAGTCTTACCTAACCCCGTCAAACCAACTACTGTCGTGGTCACAAAACTTTCAACATCATCAGTAGTACGTTGTTTTAACAACATACCAACGACTGTGTTCAAATCATATTCCCTTCCAAATTCAAAAAAGAAGTTGATTCTTCACTCCTCTTAATAGGGTTATAGTCTATATTAACCCCAAAGTATCGATTGTTGTTAACCATAGTGTCCAACTCTTCCTTAATGTCCGTAACCTTACGACACATTATATGAGCTTGAGACACCAACTTAAGAGTCCGATCATCGTTGTTGCTGTCAACGAACAGCGACTTAGACACGCTAAAGAGGTCAGTAAGAAAATCACCAACTTCATAGGCAACTGCCTTGAGTCGCTCATCAATGTACCCGCGTGTTTCGCGAGGTAGCTCGGTTGATTATAGTTGAAATGGTCTTGATGAGATCTTTGCGTTGAACATTGTAGGCTGCGTAGCCCAAGTTGTAAAAAATCTCTTTCATTTGCGACGAATGATAAATCTCATTGATGATCGTAGACCCGATTACAGAAAGGATGATTTCGAGTTCGAGGTCGGCCATTGAGAGTGTAGTGTTAATTAGGTTTAGAAATGTGATTATGGGATAAATGATGCCAAACAAAATATTAACTACTTGGAAAAAGTTAGCTGCGGAAAGTAAATGTGGAAGCATGCTCCGCTCAGTCCAACACAGATTTTCGCTTTTTCATTGTTTAATGTTGAAGGTAATCAAGCTTTAAGACTATTTTGCCACCATTCACCGGAATAAAGTAACTTACCATGAGGTTTTGTCAAATGAATCAACAATTTAGAATTAATTTTAGGGGTCGTTTGGTCGGGGGTAATAAACAAAGGGAAAAGAAATGAACAAGCCCCATTCCCTTTGTTGTTGTTTGTTTGTCACTATCAATCATTCCCTTTACCCTATTTCATTATTGACTTTACCTATTTTTGCTCTAACATGATTCTCCACCCCCCTAGACTTTCCCATTCCCTAGCCACCAAACCCACCACCATACCCACCTCACCTAGCAACCTTCTACAGCACAACCACCACCCATCCACCCCTCCCCCATCCAGCGTTGTCGCTCCCCTACACCCTTCGTTGGAACACGGCGCACCTCCCCCACCCATCGATCCCTTCCCCCCCCCGAAAACATCTATCCTCCTCGAAAACACTTTACCCACCAAAGAAAAACCCTCCCCCTCCCCTTAAAACCGTCGGCTAGGGTTTCGTGGGTGGGGAAGTGTTTTCGAGGTAATTAATAATTGGCTGGGTGGATTCGGAGGAGGGAGGGTGAAGGATGGAGAGGGTCGGAGGAGGGAGGGTGAGGGGCGGCGAGGTGGTAGTTGGGCTGTAGGATGGGTGGGAAATGAAGAAATAGAGTATTGCTATGTGGAGGTGGTGGTGCTGTGGTGGAGGTGATTCCTTTGTGTTTTTTATAAAACAAACAACATGCTAAATGGAAAGGGATTCATTCCATTCTCTTTGATACCTTTTCTCCATTCCATTCCGATTCCATCGTGCGAACCAAACGGCCATAATTGACAAAGCAAGTACTCCATAATTGTACACCAAACAATTCAGTATGTACTTAACCCTTTACTTATGACAATTATTTTGACAAAGCAAGTACTCCATAATTGTACACCAAACAAAACATTAGCTATTCATCTTACATATGTGTAACTACAAATCGAACAAAGCTTGATTGAGTTGGTGAGAAACTCACCTTGTGACTTTGAGGTCACAAGTTCGAGCCCCACTAAATCCAAAATGTTTGGGAGTAATGAGATTCCCTTATCTCCCCACTCTATTCTCAAGTTTGTTAAAGAGAACAAGATCATAACATACATTTGAGTGATGAACGAACTCCTAAAAGGCTAGGATATTTAAAAGATTCCTCAGTAATTCAAAAACATGGTAGTATTTGATGTAAGAAACGAAATGATTGATTATATACGGATAAAAATATTGTCGACTTTGATCAAATTTTATCCAATTTATCAATTTGACTTACAAGTTTCATATGCTTTCGTGTCACTCTCCCATATAGAAAGATGACATTTGGCCGTTTGTCAATGGTCGGCTAACTTTTAGGAAACAATCTAAATTATTTTTTTAGAAATAAAGGCGATAATTTTTTTTTTTTTTTTTTTTTAGTATTTAAATTACAATAATTGTTTGGTGGTCCTAGATCCATCTAGATAAGCTAAGGTATGATACGCATTGATTTCATTTTATTTTAATATAGAACTGTACTTTAATCAACCTACATAATACAAGTAAAATATTGAAATTTTCTCTTTTGAAGGGAATATATATAATGGTAAGACCACAATTAAACGACTTTCAACAAA